GTATCACTACTTTTTATTTTGTCAGAAAACAAGAGCAGCATTGTAACTTTCTGCTGAAATAACTAGATTTTTGTTAGTGTTTGAAAATAATCTTTGTACTTAACTATATCTTTGTTTGCCTTCATTATCTTACACTGCAGTTACAGTATAAAGTACAGTGGAACCTCGGTATACAACCAGCTCCCTGCTCGAACAAAGCTCAGCACTCGACCAAACAAATACGACCTGCCAGAATTTCACTGTAAACTATTTCATGTTTCTTCGCATTTTTTGGTGTTTTTTGTATTGTTTGTATAAATAAGTCACCATGGGGCCTATGATGATTAGCGATAACAGCCAACCAAGCAGAAAATCGGTTGGGAAGAACTTGTTCGATGCTCAAATGGAGCAGCACTCGAACAGCCTTCTGGAATGAATTAAGGTCGCATACCAAGGTTCCACTGTATATGTATAATCTCAACTATTGTGTCAAATCTTTTTAGAGTTGTTTCAGTTTAAGTCTGCCTGGAATGCCTTACATGACTGTGGGATTTACCTTGTATGTACAGTGGACCCCTGCCTTACGATATTATTTCATACCAGAGGTCTGTTTGGGTGCCGTTATAGACCGAATTTGTTCCCATAAAGAATATTGTGAATTAGATTAGTCCGTTTCAAACCCCAAAAAATACACATACAAAAGAACTTACAAAAATACACTTACATAATTGGTCGAGTTGGGAGCTGATCGTAAGGCGGGGGTCCACTGTATTGTTAAATCATGCATATGTATCATCTAGGTAAATAAAATTATTTTTTATTTATTGTTTACATCATAAACAAGGCATAGAAAATTAGCAAACACTTTATTAAATACTTTAAATGTATATTATTTAATTGTATATTGTAATTGTAATTGTATATTGTTTAATATATTTATAGATGGGGTTGTAAGAGAAGTAAATGCGAGGGTCTTGGCAAGAGGCGTGGAGTTAAAAGATAAAGAATCACACATAAAGTGGGAGTTGTCACAGTTGCTCTTTGCTGATGACACTGTGCTCTTGGGAGATTCTGAAGAGAAGTTGCAGAGATTGGTGGATGAATTTGGTAGGGTGTGCAAAAGAAGAAAATTGAAAGTGAATACAGGAAAGAGTAAGGTTATGAGGATAACAAAAAGATTAGGTGATGAAAGATTGGATATCAGATTGGAGGGAGAGAGTATGGAGGAGGTGAATGTATTCAGATATTTGGGAGTGGACGTGTCAGCGGATGGGTCTATGAAAGATGAGGTGAATCATAGAATTGATGAGGGGAAAAGGGTGAGTGGTGCACTTAGGAGTCTGCGGAGACAAAGAACTCTGTCCTTGGAGGCAAAGAGGGGAATGTATGAGAGTATAGTTTTACCAACGCTCTTATATGGGTGTGAAGCATGGGTGATGAATGTTGCAGCGAGGAGAAGGCTGGAGGCAGTGGAGATGTCATGTCTGAGAGCAATGTGTGGTGTGAATATAATGCAGAGAATTCGTAGTTTGGAAGTTAGGAGGAGGTGCGGGATTACCAAAACTGTTGTCCAGAGGGCTGAGGAAGGGTTGTTGAGGTGGTTCGGACATGTGGAGAGAATGGAGCGAAACAGAATAACTTCAAGAGTGTATCAGTCTGTAGTGGAAGGAAGGCGGGGTAGGGGTCGGCCTAGGAAAGGTTGGAGGGAGGGGGTAAAAGAGGTTTTGTGTGCGAGGGGCTTGGACTTCCAGCAGGCATGCGTGAGCGTGTTTGGTAGGAGTGAATGGAGACAAATGGTTTTTAATACTTGACGTGCTGTTGGAGTGTGAGCAAAGTAACATTTATGAAGGGGTTCAGGGAAACCGGCAGGCCGGACTTGAGTCCTGGAGATGGGAAGTACAGTGCCTGCACTCTGAAGGAGGGGTGTTAATGTTAAAGTTTAAAAACTGTAGTGTAAAGCACCCTTCTGGCAAGACAGTGATGGAGTGAATGATGGTGAAAGTTTTTCTTTTTCGGGCCACCCTGCCTTGGTGGGAATCGGCCAGTGTGATAATAAAAAAAAAAAAAATATATTACTCCATCAATAGGATTGGAGGGATTCAAAATCTCATGTATTCTAATTAGGTCCATGAGAGATAAGTTTCCAGTTTTTCAATCTGTAGATAAAGCTTTCTGCATAGAAAATATTAGTGCAAAAGGATGATTAATATGTTTCATGTTCTAATTGCTGCTTGGCACTTGTAAAACTTATTGGTTCATAAGCATCCTCTTGGTAAGTGTGTTTGTGTGTGACTACTTTTATTCAGAATATAGTGTAGTTAAAGGTACTGTAAATTAAATAAGTATTACTAGTATAATACGTACTTTCATTTCAGTGTCATAGTTACCTTTAACAACTGTTAGTTTTTTTTAACACGTCGGTCGTTTCCCATCGAGGCAGAGTGACCTAGAAAGAAAGAAATTCCCCAAAAAGAAAGTACTGTACTTTCATCATCATTCAACACTTTCACCTCACTTATACATAATCATTGTCTTTGCAGAGGCACTCAGATATGACAGTTTAGAAGTCCCTCCAAAACTGCCAATATCCCAAACCTGCTCTTTTAAAGTGCAGGCATTGTACTTCCCATTTCCAGGACTCAAGTCTGGCTAACAGGTTTCTCTGAATCCCTTCACAAAATATTAACCCTGCTCGCACTCCAACAGCATGTCAGGTCCAAAAAACCATTCGTCTCCATTCACTCCTATCTAACATGCTCATGCATGCTTGCTGGAAGTCCAAACCACTTGCCCACAAAACCTCCTTTACCCCCTCCCTCCAACCTTTTCGAGGACAACCCCTACCCCGCCTTCCTTCTCCTACAGATTTATATGCTCTCCATTCTCTCTTTGATCCATTCTCTCTAAATGACCAAACCACCTCAACAATCCCTCTGACTAATACTTTTAGTAATTCCACACCTCCTCCTAATTTCCACACTCCGAATTCTCTGCATAATATTTTCACTACAAATTGCCCTTAGACAAGGCATCTCCACTGCCTCCAGCCACCTCCTCACTGCAGCATTTGCAACCCAAGCTTCACACCCATATAATAGTATTAGTACCACTATATGTACTTTCTTACATTCCCTTCTTTGCCTCCATGGATAATGTTTTTTGTCTCCACAGATACCTCAATGCACCACTAACCTTTTTTCCTTCATCAATTCTATGGTTAACCTCATCCTTCATGAACCCATCCACTGACTAGTCAACTCCCAAATACATGTATCTGAAAACATTACTTCTTCCATACTCCCTCTCTCTGATGTGATATCCAGTTTTTCTTTATCTAAATTGTTTGATACCCTCATCACCTTATTCTTATCTATGTTCACTTTCAACTTTCTACCTTTACACACCCTCCCAAACTCGTCCACTAACCTTTGCAACTTTTCTTTAGAATCTCCCATAAGCACATTATCTTCAGCAAAAAGTAACTGTGTCAACTCCCAATTTGTATTTGATTCCCCATAATTTAATCCCACCCCTGTCCCCAGCACCCTAGTATTTACTTCTATTACAACCCCATCTTTTTTCTTTCAACAAACTGGCCGTATCCCACCAAGGCAGGGTGGCCCAAAAAGACAAACGAAAGTTTCTCTTTTTAAACTTAGTAATTTATACAGGAGAAGGGGTTACTAGTCTCTTGCTCCCGGCATTTTAGTTGCCTCTTACAACACGCATGGCTTACGGAGGAAAAATTCTGTTCCACTTCCCCATGGAGATAACAGGAAATAAACAAGAAGAAGAACTAGTACAGAGAGGTGTGTATATATATGCTTGTACATGTATGTGTAGTGTGACCTAAGTGTAAGTAGAAGTAGCAAGATGTACCTGAAATCTTGCACTTTTATGAGACAGAAAAAAGGACACCAGCAATCCTACCATCATGTAAAACGATTACAGGCTTTCATTTTACACTCACTTGGCAGGACAGTAGTATCTCCCTGGGCACTTGCTGTCAACCAACCTACTACCATTACAACCCCATCTATGAATATATTAAATAACCATGGTGACATTACACATCTCTGTCTAAGACCTACTTTTACCGGGAAGCAATCTCCCTCTCTCCTACACACCCTAACCTGGGCCTCACTGTCCTCACACTCTTTACAGCATTTAGTAACTTACTATCTATTTCATACACTTGCAACATCTACCACATTGCTCCCCTATCCACTCTATCATATGCCTTTTTTAAATCCATGAAAACTTCCCTACCATTATCTAAATACTGTTCACATATATGCTTCAATGTAAACACCTGATCTACACATCCCCTACCCAATTTAAAGCCTCCTTGCTCATCTGCAATCCTACTCTCTGTCTTCTGATTCTTTCAATAAAAGCCCTACCGTACACTTTACCTGGTATACTCAGTAAACTTGTTCCCCTATAATTTTTGCAATCTCTTTTGTCCCCCTTCTCTTTATATAAAGGAACTTTACACTCTGCCAATCTCTGGGTACCTTCCCCTCTTTCATACATTTATTAAACAAAATTCTAACTATTCCAACACTATATACCCCCTTGCTTTTATTTATTTATTTATTTATTTATTTTATGTCTTTGCAAACAGTACATGATCATGATCCCTTCAGTTATAGCTGCTTTACCCCCCTTTCATTCTATGTAATGCCTCACGCACCTCCCCCACATTCACATTCTGCTCTTCTTCACTTATAAAAGATGTTATACGTACTTCCTTGGCCAGTGCATGAAATTACCACCTCCCTTTCTTCATCAACACATAAAAGTTCCTCAAAATATTCCCACCATCTATCCAATACCTCCAGTTCCCCATCAGCTAAATCCCCTACTCTTTTTTTTAACTGACAATCCAGTTGTTCCCGAGGCTTTCTTAACATGTTTATCTCACTCCAAAATTTTATCTTATTTTCAGCTGTTATACTGATAATAAATATTAATAGTCATTGTTTTTTGTCTATATCTTCAATCACCTTGCAATTATAAGCTAAATCTACACTGCAGGTAGTGCCAGGTCAGCAGACAAGACACTTAAGACAAGGCCACTCTGCAAATTTGGCTCTGACTGTTATAGAAAGAATCCCTGGCATCTGGAAGAGTTTTATCACCCACACCTGGAAGATGGTAGAGGTGAAACTGCAGGAAACAGCAGTACAGGTAATAGTTTTCTCAAACATAATCATCATAATTTTATATATTTAAATTCTGTCATAACTTTGACCAGTTTGAGGGTTATTCTACCCTTGCAGCCTGTCCTGAGGTCAGGCAGTCTTGCTGACTGCCTGCTCAACCAGACTATTGCTGCTACTGGTCTGAAGGCCAGTATACCCAACTTATATCAAATTCAGATTCAAGAGTGAAATTATTTCTTCACACAAACATTATATGCACTTATCAATAATGATAGATATTGGAGTAAGGTACTGACATTTGAGTTGGGTGTTGTATAAAGGATATGGTGCAGGGGTAGAAGGAAGGTGTCGTATTGTAAGCTAGGTTTTTTTTTCAACACACTGGCTGTCTCACACTGAGGTAGGGTGACCCATAAAAAAGAAACACTGTCACCATCATTCAACACTTTCACCATCATTCAGCACTTTCACCATCACTCACACATAATCATTGTCTTTGCAGAGGTGCACAGATATGACAGTACAGTGGTACCTCGAGTTTCGAACTTTCTTCGTTCCAGAAGGCTGCTCAAGTGCCATTACCGAACAAATTTGTTCCCATAAGGAATAATGTAAATTAGATTAGTCTGTTTCAGACCCCCAAAAATACACTTACAAAAGCACTTACAATAATATACTTACATAATTGTGGGCGAAGGGCTTGGACTTCCAGCAAGCATGCGTGAGCGTGTTAGATAGGAGTGAAGGGGGACGAATGGTTTTTGGGACCTGACAAGCTGTTGGAGTGTGAGTAGGGTAATATTTAGTGAAGGGATTCAGGGAAACTGGTTATTTTTATATAGCTGGACTTGAGTACTGGAAATGGGAAGTACAATGCCTGCACCAGTGGGAGCACCAGTTCAAATGAGCGCCAGCTAGAGCAAAGAGTGCAGCCAACACTTGGGATTCACTGATTTCATGTAGTATTAACTCTCTCATTTTAAGAGGAAAGTGATGTTGACCCAGAGTTTAGTGGCTTTGAGGTGGATGTGGCCATAAATGGTCGAGAAAATATAAAAAAACCTCGATAATAACCCATGTGCAACATTTGTGCAACACCCTTTCAAAATGTCTTATAACCTATGCCCTAAGTAAAGAGAAGCAATTCTGGAACGTAATACTTGTTCAGCAGGCTGGCTGACTGGCTGATTGACTGGCTGGCTGACTGCTGGCAGCCTGGCTCCATTTGTTTGTCTGAGTCTATGTCTATCTCTGTCTCTCTGTCTCTATCTTTGTCTCTGTCTCTATCTATCTGTCTCTGTTTCTGTCTATCTGTCTTTGTCTGTCTGTCTATCTCTGTCTCACAGGTACACATAAATACAAGTATACATAGTGTAAATTACCTAGGATAACCCAAAAAAATCCAGACTAAGTGCTATACTCTGCTTGAAGATATGACTAAAGGTGATGATGCAGTCTTGTGGCTCTCTCTGGGCAGAGAGCTAGATGGAGAGACAGATAGACAAGGAGCTTGACAGACAGACAGACAGACAGACATGTTTGTGTACCAGCAAAAACAAAGCCAGTGCCCATGCTCATCAAAGGTCACCTCTAATCTTTTCTTATCAAGACTTATCACCCACCCTTGCATATGCTCATCAAATGCAAGCTCTTACCAAATGTTATCTCATCTTATCACCTCACTGGGTCAGGGGTGGACTTGTTTTTTCCAGCTTCAGGGAACTTATTATTACTTCTCTTCTTTCCTTCTTCTTCTTCTTCTTCTTCTTCTTCTTCTTCTTCTTCTTCTTCTTCTTCACTTCTTCTTTTTCTTCTTCTTCTTCTTCTTCTTCTCTTCTTCTCTTCTTCTCTTTTCTTTCTTCTTCTCTTTTCTCTTCTTCTTCTCTTTTTCTTCATTCTCTTTTCTTCTTCTTCTTCTCTTTTCTTTCCTTCTTCCTTCTTCTCTTTTCTTCCTTCTTCTTCTCTTTTCTTCTTCTTTCTTCTCCTTTTCTTCTCTTCTCCTTGCTCCTCCTTCTCCCTTCTCCTTCTCCTTCTTTTCTCTTCTCCTTTTAATTTCTCTTCTTCTTTACTTCTCACTTCTCCTCTGCCTTTCCTTCTTCTCCCTTCTTCTCCCTTTTCTCTTCTCCTCTTCTTCTCTCCTTCTTCTTCTCCCTTCTTCTCCTTCTTCCCTTCTTCTTCTTCTCCCTTTTTTTCTTCTTCACCCTTCTTCTTCTTCTCCCTTCTTCTTCTTCTCCATTCTCTTCATCTCCTTTCCTTCTTCTATCTCCCTTCTTCTTCTTCTCCCTTCTTTCTTCTTCATCTCCCTTCTTCTTCTCCCTTCTTCTTCTTCTCCTTCTTCTTCCTCTCCTTCCTTCTCTCCTTCCTTCTTCTCCCTCTTCTTCTCCCTTCTTCTTCTTCTCCCTTCTTCTTCTTCATTCATCCCTTCACTTACTTCTTCCTCCCTTCTACTTCTTCTCCCTCTTCTTCCTCTACCCTGTCTTCTTCTTTCTCCCTCTTCTTCTTCACCCTTCTTCTTCTTCTCCCTTCCTTCTTCTTCTCTCTTTCTTCTTCTTCTTCTTCTTCATTCTTCTTCTTCTTCTTTCTTCTTCTGTTTTGTTTCTTCCTCTTCTTCTTCTCTTCTTCTTCTTCTCCTTCTTCTTCTTCTTCTTCTTCTTCTTCTTCTTCTTCTTCTTCCTTCTTCTTCTTCTTCTCTTCCTCTTCTCTTCTTCTTCTTCATCTCCCTTTCTTCTTCTTCTCCCTTTTTCTTCTTCTCCATACACACATCTTCTTCTCCTTGCCCCTTCTTCTCCCCTTCTTCTTCTTTCTCCCCTTCTTCTTCTTCTCCTTTTTTCTTCTCTCCAACCTTCTTTCTCTCGCCCTTCTTTCTTCTCCCTTCACTCTTCTCCCTTCTCTTCTTCCTCCCTTCATCTTCTTCCCCTTTCTTCTCTTCTTCTTCTTCTTCTTCTTCTTCTTCTTCTTCACAGCTTGTTCTTCTCTCTTCTTCTCTTCTTCTCTTCTTCTTCTTCTTCAATCTCCCTTCTTACCTTCTTCTTCTCCCTTCTTCTTCTTCTTGCTCACTTCTCTCTACTTCTTCTTCTTCTTCTTCTTCTTCTTCTTCTTCTTCTTCCTTCTTCTTCATCTTCTTCTTCTTCTCCCTTCTTCTTCGTCATCTCCCCCATCTTCTTCTTCTTCTCCTTCTTCCTTCTTCTACTTCTTCTCTTCTTCCCTTCTTCTTCTTCTTCTTCTCCCTTCTTCTTCTTCTTCTTCTTCTTCATCTTCTTCATCTCTTCTTCATCTTCTTCTATTCTCTTCTTTTCTTCTCTTCTTCTTCTTCTTCTCCCTTCCTTCTTCTTCTTCTCCTTCTTCATTCATCTTCTCCTTCTTCTCTCTTCTCCCCTTCTCCCTTCTCCCTTCTTCTTCTTCTTCTTCTTCTACTACTTCTCTTTTCTTCATCACTTTCTTCTACTTCTTCTACTTTTATTCTACTTCTACTATTTCTTCAACTTCAACTTCTTCAATCTTCTTCTACTTTCTTCTTCTCACTTCATCTTCTTTTTATCATCTTCTACTATTTTCTTCATCTTCTCTTCTTCTTCATCTTCTTCTTCTTCTTCTTCATCTTCTTCTTCTTCTACTTCTTCTTCCTTCATCTATCTTCTTCCTCCCCTTCTTCTTCTTCTTCTCGCCTTCTCTTCTTCTTCTTCTTCATCTTCTTCTTCTCTTCTTCATCTTCTCTTCACCCTTCTCCAAGTCTCCTTCTTTCTCGGTCTATACTTCTTCTTCTTCTTCTTCTACTTCTTCTTCTTCTTCTCTTCTTCTTCTTCATCTTCTCTTCATCAACTTCTTCTCCCATCTATCATCTTCTCCCTATCTTCTTCATCTCCCTTCAACTTCATCCTCCACCCTACATCTCTTCTTTCTACATCTTCCTACCAACTTCAACTTCATCATTCTCTTTCTTCTGCTTCTTCACACTTCTACCTCAACTTCTTCTTCATCACCCTACACTAATCTCCATCAACTTCAATACTCCAATCTACTACTACTATCTTCTACATACATCCTTCTCCCTACTACTTCTCCCTTCCTTCATCTCACCCAACATCAACATCTTCTTCTTCTCCCTTCTTTCATCTTCTCCATTCATCTTCTCTCTTCTTCATCTTCTTCTTCTTCTACTCTTATCTACTTCTTCTTCTTCATCTTCTACATCATCTTCATCTTCTTCTTCATCACCTACTACTTCTCATCATACTCCTCTACTACTTACTCCCATCTCCATTTCTCTTCATCTTTACTTCTATCTTCTACAACTATCATCTCTTCTTCAACTTCTACTTCTTACATTCATCATCATTTCTACATCATTAATTACAACAACTACTTCTTCAACTTCTCGCTACTACTACAATCTACTTCATCATCTTCTTTCTTCTACCTTCCTTCAACAACTCCCATCATCATCTTCTCCCTACATCTTCTTCACCCTTCAACATCTTCCCTTCTCTTCATACAACATCTTCTTCTACTACTTACTACTTCCTATCTATCAACTACTCTTCATCTACTTCTCATCACCCATCTTCTTCATCTTCATCATCTTCTCAACATCTACTTCTACTACTTCTTCTTCTTCATCTTCTAACTATTCTTCACCCTTCTTCTTCTTCTCCATTCTTCTTCTTCTCCATCATCTTCATCATTCGTCTACATCTCATCTTCACTTCTTCCATCTGCTTCTTCTTCTTCTCCTTTCTACTTCTTCCTACTACTTCTTACTTCTTCATCACCCACAACTTCTACCTCCCTTCTTCTACATCTCCCTTCTTCTACATCTACTTCTTCTACTACTCCCTTCTTCTATCTTCTTCCCTTCTTCTTCTTCGTTCTTCTTCTTCTTCCTTCTTCTTCTTCTACTTCTTACATCTCCCATCTTCTCTTCTTCTTCTCTTCTTCTCCCATCAACTTACAACTCCCATCTTCTTCTTCTCCCTTCTTCTTCTTCACCCATCTTCTACTTCTACCTTCTTCTACTTCTTCATCTTC